CTTGCAACCGAGAGTCAATCCCCGCGATGGGAAACAAGAAATGATCCTCACATGTTTAGAAGGGCATCGTAGCGAGCAAGCGCTTGCTGCTGTGCAACGGCCTGCCGAATCAAATCAGCGCGAGAAGACGGGGAATGCAGGGAGGGAGTCAGGGGGAGAGGAGTTAGAGACTGAAGAACGAAACGAGGCAGGACGAGCAACAAAGTGAAGGTGCCGTTGGGTAGCGAGCAAGAGAGCAAGGGAGGGGAGAGGGTGGCTGGAAGGCAGCGTACCATGTCTGTAACATTCATCATACAAATATTTGAGCTGGCACCCGCGGCAGAGTCATCGAACATGAAATCCCCCTCGTCATCTACAGCTCAAGAAGTCAAGGCTTGAAGCACAAGCAGGAGATCTGATACCGTCATCATGCTCATCAGGGTGGAGAGCTTGACATTGCGAGAAGACGCTGAAGACAACCCCAAGAATCTGATGAATCCCAATGAGTTATCAGGCATCCGCCGTAAAGTAGAGTGGTCACGTTCGGGTCGTCCATGACGAATCGCATTTCATGGGAGGGTTCATCCCCCTCCATCCCCTCCTCCTCCTCCTCCTCCTCCTCCTCCTCTGCTCCATTCATCTTCGCGTCCGGCGCGCTTTGACTACAATTCGCTATCATCTCTCGCACGGCATCGTCTGCGAGGACCTGAACAGCTTCAGGAAGCGAGGGCGAAGCAATGCACGTGCTACCTGACAGTAGATGCAAGGGTGAGGGAAAGCCGATGTGTCTCTCGAAATAGCATGCACGATGACAGATCTCCAGTGCAGTTTGACTGTCTCATCCAATCGCTCATCATTTCTCCAGATGATTTGATGCGTGGTCAGGAACAAGGTTCCTTGTCCAAATGCAGGTCTGGATGCAAATTCAATTCAGGAAGGAAAAGAATCAAGCAGAGATCTGAACTCATCCTCAATAAAAACAAAGCCACGAACATCAACAACAACCTCAAACATCAACAACCGCTCCTGGAAACAATTCCGAAGAACAAAACAGCCAAGATGGTTGTGAAGCAATCATCAATCGTCATATAATCTGAGAGCCCATGCTCACCTGTCATCGGCATACAGGCTTACTCTCTGCTTGATGAATTTCACCTCCTCCTCTTCTCCCATGCTCGGCATCGTCTGCCCGCTCGAAAGCCCATCGCCCTCCGCCATTGCTGCACGGGCTGCTAGCTCTTCGCCCTCATACCCCTACTTCCTCGTAAAGCTTTCTTTTTAGTCTTTTTATTGTTTTTAGTAATGTTATGCAATCGTTCGGCATATGATCTGCAGCACTTACGATTTCTCATAGGACCATAAAGACATATTGATAGGACCTTCCTAGTACCTTCGTTCGGCCAGTCGTAGTCCCCAATGCTGCTCGGGGTTGAAGGCGTACAATGCTATATCCAGTGGAGAGGGGAGGGGAAGAAGAGAGCATAGGAGGAGGAGGAGGAGGAGGAGGAGAACAGAGTCGAAGAGAGAATAGGAGTGGCAGAGTAGCTGATCCAGAGATTTCTCCCTGGGTTGCTTGCCATGATCGCGGAGGTTGCTGAATGTTGGTGGTGCAGGATTGGAGGAATGTGAGAGGAGCGCTTGTGGTGAGGGCGGGCAGTCAGACAGCAGGTCGGCACTGACAACAGAGCATGGCGGAATCCTTGGATTCGGGAAGCCTGCGAGAGAAAATGTCGAGCAGTGCAGGGAGAGCGATGAACAAAGTCAAGAGCGTCATGGCGCCGACCTCCATTGCCAACGCCGGAGTGGCTGCATCGGAGCTCATCGGCGTCGTTGCAGCCGGTGCCATGGCTACCTCCGAGCAGC